CTGAAATTGTTCAGTCTAGTCTATGCCTTTGGTGTGAGAGACCCAGGTTTGAATCCACTGCGAGACACCTATGTATCCATGAGCAAGACACTTAACCCCTAATTGCTCCAGAGGTGTGCGACCTCTGACACATATAGCAATTGTAAGTCGCTTTGGATAAAAGCGTCAGCTAAATGAATAAATGTAAATGTAGTTCACTAACCGTTTTCATTATCATATTATACATTCACCTATGTTGACAGTGCTGATCGTGAAAGATACAGGAATAGTTAGTGAAATGCCTTATGCATGGAAAAATACTGTACATACAGCACCTTTAAGCACCAAATCATTAGAATGATTTCTGAAGGATCATGTGACTCTGAAGAGTGGAGTAATGATGCTGAAAATCAAGCTTTGTCGTCACAGGAAAAAATGACATTTTAAAATATATTAATAAAAAGTTATTTTAAGTTATTTTATTTTAATATTATTATGACAATTTGACTGCATACAACTGCTTGGACTATTTGATAAACACTAACTAGATGCATTTTAGAAAAAGTAATTTTGTCCAAAACACTACAAAAAGAGCTTATAACAACTAAATGATCGGAGCAATGTTAGAGCACAATACACTTTGTAAGGGAGCCAAGTCTAAAGATTGACGCCAATAGGTGCAACGTTATGGCATAAACAACAGCTACTGACATCAGCAGATGGAGCTCCACAGGAATCATTCTCATTACCACCATGCACCACAGTTACACACAGAGTGTGTAGCATTGTGTGTAGACAAACACTCTGCAAAGGCAGTCAAGGTGATCTTTTTTCTCTACGATCACAGTAAAAGCCAGAGATGCAAACACATGAATGGTCAAAAAAGAGAGAGGTAATCGAAGCCCTCGCCCCGTGGCAAATATTCAGATACCGGTAAGTTACTTACATTGCCACCAACCCCTGCCATCCCCGGCCCACCCTATAGGCACATAGAGTAAAATGAAATTCCAATATTTTTACCAAAATGGTTTTATAAAAAGACAAACCTCACATATTTTGGCCTTTAAATCATTTTTATAAAAAGAACAAGTAAAAAAATATATAAATTACTGACATTTACAATGCACATTAGCTTATCTTTTATTAGTAATAGTAAAATTCAGTCTGATTTTCCCGTGGCGTCTTTCGCGAATACAGACATCATCAAAGTAGTCTATGTGACATCAGTGGGTTGGTTAGAATGTTTTGAAGCCTCGAAAATACATTTTGGTCCAAAAATAACAAAGATTATATTATATGTATGTAATATAATAAGATTACATACATTTTCTATGGAGGGACAGAAAGCTCTCAGACTAAATCTAAAATATCTTAAACTGTGTTCCGAAGATGAGCAGAGGTCTTACGGGCTTGGAGCGACATGAGGGTGAGTCATTAATGACATAATTTTCATTTTTAGGTGAACTAACCATTTAAGTAATATTAATAACCTCCTCCTCTACCAATACCATAAATGTATAAGTATCCTTGTTCGAATACCTTTGATTTGTCACTTATTAAGAATCTTATGTGTGATGTCTCACCGATTCGTGAGGTGATAGTCTCCAGGTCCGAGAGGAATGCAGGGATCTGCTGCAGTTGTTCCTGCAGCTCCAGCACTGCTCCTCGTTTCTTCTCCCAGTGTGCACACAGCATCACCACCTCTCCGTCCACCATCTCACAGACCACAGGGTTTAGTTATCATGGTTATGGCACCACAAATGAGTCAACTGTACCGAATTATATGTGTGAACTTACTTCTGCAGCCTTAGCACACTCTTTACCACGTTTATGAAGGGAGACCCAAGTGTCTTCATATCTAGTGTAGAAAAAGCCAAACATAAATTAAAAAAAAAAAAAAAAACAGTTATTACTACATTCATCATCTTCAGCTATTTATCCTTTGATTCCACTGCACTGAAATTTTTGTTGACAACTTGACATCATTGACAATATGGTTGTGTACAAAAAAGAAAAGCAACTTACCGACTGAGTAACTCGACTCCAGCAGAATATTCAGGGAGGTGCTCATCTCTTCTGGGAGAATATATGACATAAATTATATATATATATATATACATATATATATTTTTTTTTTAAATGTCATGCTTATATTTATATATATATTGTACATTGTGAGAACATTTGGTTGAAAGAGCTTATAAAGCATACTAAATGATGTTTGAATAAAAAAGTAAAATGTGCAGAAAGTTTTCTATAACTGTTATGTTAGAGGTAGGGTTATGGTAAGAGTATATAAAATATCATTAGCCAGAATAAAACCATTGTGCCGTGTGTGTGAACAAACAAACAAACAAAAAAACAAACAAGAGAGCTCATTACCTTTGTTTTTTCTTTACTTTCACCTCCTTGGATTTGTCACTTAGGGTCTTGATTCTGAGAAGTTTTGAAATATGACACTGTAAAAATCCTAAAATCTAAATAATATGCCTAGTTATAAAATTACAGTATTTTATTGTTTGGTTACATTTGTGTTGGTTTATTGTCGTTATATAAAACATGCACCCAGTGTCTTGGAAATATTTACATTTAATATTTAAGTTTTATTTAAGAAAATGTAATAAAAGACAGTAATGTAGTTTCGCCCATCACATGACAGTCAGCTGGAAGTTATTAGTGCAAAAGCAGATCGTAGTTGTTAGCATTCGGCTAACTTGACAGCATTGAACATCTCGTGTCCCTTTTCTTCCCTCAAATATTAAATTGTTTAATACATTTTCTTTCTTTTAATACCCAGCAGCCTTTGTTTTGTGAATATTAAGACAAAAACAAACAACACTCATGGCTGTAGTGAGATTATTAGCAGGCTAATTAGCTAGCGTCCACTTCTCGTCTCTCTGCTGAATAGCGGACTCTCTCGTCAAAAAGCCAAAGCAGAAGTTAGGTCAATATTGTGTAATATGAGTTCAGGTTCTATAGGTCATATCATTTTGCTATCTCAACACCTTATTAAGACTCTGGATAGTGCGAAAGCAGCCAGGCAGCTCATACGTACCCTGATGTGAAGTCCTGCTGCACCGTTTGCAGTCTCTCTCTGAAATTCTCAAACATGTCCTTGAGCCGCTTTAATTCCTCTACACAGGCTTGACATTTAGGTTAGATCTGTGTGTGCTTACAGTCTTTCACGAGGGCTTCAGTTATCCTATGACATAGGGCAATATCCTAATGTCCCGTTGTGGGCTGTGAACCGTCGGACAATGTCTGCAGGACTACAGTACCTGGATTCATCCAGCAAGTGTTTATCTCAATAATTAATAATGGATCTCGATCACTGTATTATTAACACAACATTTATTTTTTACCCAGAGTAAGAAAATGTGATTCAGCGTCGTATGTCAGATATTAACGTGAGTCCTTCCTGTACTAGTTAAACACACGCCCCCTTATTGAGAGTGAAAGTGACAAAAGAAGGGGTGTTCAGCAATTCTCTGATTCATTTTAGCGATTCGGTTCATTCATGCGGTTCGTTTACGTTCGAATGAACCGATTCAGATAACGTTTCACTAGTTCCCATAAAAATTTATGGCCTGGTTTCACAGACAGGGCTTAGGTTAATCCAGGGTTAGGCCATTCAATTTTTACATTAAATTAGCTTTTATAAACGTACCAAAAACATATTTTAAGACAGTTACTTAAAGTGGTAATGCCCTTTTCACAACATGTAAAATAAATCTCTGATGTCCCCAAAGTGTGCATGTGAAGTTTTAGCTCAAAATACCCCACAGATATTTTAATATAGCATGTCAAAGTTGTCACTTTTTGAGGGTGAGCAAAAACGTAAAACTTTCTTGTTATTCCAAAAACTGCTTTTGTTGAAACCAAGGCCGGCAAAAGTGGAGACTTGTGACGTCACACTTCAGCTTTGGCCAGAACGACAGAAGATCAATACAGGTGAGGTCAGCGTTCTATTGCATCACCGTGGCCCAGCAGGTGAAACCCAGCATGGCCAACCATTTTGGGGTGAAAGCGATTCGGCAGTCCATAGGCTATATTTAGTCCAGTGCAGAGGTCATTTTTAGGTTGAAATAATTAGGTGATTATTTTAACACGTAGTTCTACTTAACCAGCCCTGGAAAATATTTACCATCTGAAAATATACTGAACATCATCCAGTAAACTCTAAAAGGGCATTTTCCTAGAAGATTTATTGGACTTTTTGTTTGTTTCTTTGTATTTTCCGCGCCACCTAGTGGCTGTGATAAAAAAAAAAAAAAACATCAGAGTTTCGCCTCTTGTTCTTCTCTTTTGTGAAACCATAGGTGAAACAGAGCGTTCAAATCAGAGGCTAAAATCATGCTTGGAAAAATCCCTTTTATTTATAAATTGTGATTTTTTTTATATTAAAATCATACTAACATTAAGGGCACCCCATGAAACATTATAAAACATTATAAAATAATAAAATAATCCAGTGACCCCTTTAAGGTCCTATAGCACTTTCAAAGTCTTTATGGAACCTTTATGAAAAAGTTCTATTTAGCACCAAAGGGGTTTTCGAAGAACCCTAATATGGTACTGTTTAGAACCATTTTTTATGATCCGTCACCCACATAAACAGTTTGTCTCAAACAAAACTGTTGCTGCTTGTCACAGTTGTCTTTTTTATGTCCATATTCATTGTTGTGTTGTAAAATGGCCCTTATATTTTTAATATTATTTTGTCACTCGCTGACCTTTGTGTAGTTAGGCCTATATATTTAAAATGTTTTTTAATGTAAATTATCCCCAAGACTTGTAGAGAAAAACGCATTCAATTTGTTCAAAAATGATCGAATGACAAAGTTAATTGACTTGTGGTGGAAATATGAAAACGCTATTTAAATGACTCAGTCATTCATCGTAGCAGCAAACGCCTTTGCGAACCAATTCGAATAAATAATTTAAAAGAACCGGTTCAAAAGAACAATTCGCGAATCGGACATCAGATAACGGAGAGGCGGGGATCCTTGCGAGTGCTTCATAAACCTCCTCTCGCTGTTTTTCCAATGGGGTACGACTCAGCCTCGTGACCGAGCTACAGGTCGCTCTCTCCGCTATCCTGACCTGTCCTGGACTGTGTGTGAAACAATAACTGCATTCACTATGTTATGCCTCATTACTCGTCCGGACTCGGTGGTTCTGGAAGTGGAGGTGGACCCAAAAGCAAACGGAGAGGACATTCTCAATAAGGTGAGTGAATTAAGGTTGCGAAAGTTATTCAATAATTCACATTAATACATAGGCTACTAAGACTCATTAGCATCATATAGCGTAATTACCATGGAAATTGCCATGGAAAATCACAGTATAAAACATCTTTTTTGATTTATCAATGTTTCATCCGTTTAAAAAAAATACGTTTATTGATTTAAATAGTTATATTTCCATTATAAATGTTTTAAACTATTTTAGCCTCTATATAGCAGTATTTTGGCTGTTACTACTGCAAGAAGTATTTTAGAAAAGTCTATAGGCTACATAAAAAATGTAGTTACTTATACCTAACTACACAACTTTTTCTCATTCTTATATTCAGCAAATTACTATAAAAGCAGGTGTTCTCTCATACCACATTACCACTGCAAAAGTCCCTCTTATGTAATACTTTTGTCTTTCTAAAGGAGGAGGGGTGCAAAGAGCCCAAGTCACAGCATTCTTCAGTTAAAAGCACACACTTATGCATGACAAAAAATGACCATGGTTTTGTTTTTAATTTACAGATATGCCGGAAAATGGGAATCATAGAGGTGGATTATTTTGGACTTCAGTTCACTGGTGTAAAGGGAGAGATTTTATGGATGAATCTCAGAAACAGGATTTCTCAACAAGTGGACTGCTTGTCTCCCTGCAGACTGAGGCTGCGAGTGAAGTTCTTTGTTGAGCCACATCTAATCCTGCAAGAGCAAACCAGGTGAAACTCCTCCTATATTAATATAAGTTGCAATATTTTATCATAGTGCACTGGTTTTACAAATATAGGCAAAACATTATTTTTCCATTTAAAAAAAAAAAAAAAAAACAGGATCCCTCTGTTGCTGCAGAATCTTTGAGGTTTCACATTTTTGCTCAGTCTGGAGAACATGAGGCACGTGGATAACAGCTCTGTTTTTTTAGTTGTTTTTTCTCATGAGCTCAAACAGGAAGCAGCTGCTTAAAGTGACCACATAATTCAAAATTCTGTATGCCTCAGTGGTTTTATGTTCTTACCTTTGTCCCACATCTCCATACATCTTTTCATAATACTTGCTCTGTGGCAGGGAGTTGCCAGTGTTCATGTTTGCTCTTGAAACTGCATGGCACCCGTTCAGTTAGGGAGTGCCCCATGCAGACCTGCTGAGGTAAATAATATTTTTCTGGCTTTTTGGAGGCTCAAATGTTTACATATGTTTTTTTCTTAAAGTTTAAGAAAAGTTAACACTGAATACATTAGAAGTACAGTGTGTTCCCTATGTAGAGACTAGTGGAGCTGTTCAGTCACGTCTGATGAGGACTGTTGATGGGGGTGGGGAGGGGTCAGTTTGTCTGATTCTGAGTTGAAACATGTTGTAATGTGATTCCACCTCTTACATAATCTTATACAATGGTGGGACAAGATCCAGCGCCCTATACATCAGCCTATCTATGTTAGTCTCTCAGTCTTTAAATCCGTGATTATGACAACAGATTCATTATTATGATATACGCTGTGTGCTTGATTGTTTTATATTGAAATGCATATATTGGCTAATATACTATTTGTATTTTTGTGATGCAATACCCATCGTAGTAAATACACCAATTGACAATAGGTTTGATCTGCATTATTGCAAGAAATTAATTACAAAATTAAGAATAAATTACAAAATGTATTATACTATTTCTACAAGTGATTTATGTCAAGTTGTAAAAATATGGGTTTATGCCGCTGGGTAAACCTAGCTTCAAGCCAGCTCATTTTTTTTAGATAATATCAGTTGGCTTATAGCGCATGAAAGTGTCTGAGAGATACAACTAGGCTATATCGTCACCTTCCTAAGATAATTGCCTAAGTAATTTTTTGACATGAGTCATCTCATGATGCTGGCCACTTCTGGTTAAGTCGCCCACATCCTCAGTTGAACAGATGATGCAATTCTACCCCTGTTGTATAATGGCCTATGTCAAGAGTGTGGCGGTTGTTTTATTTTGCCTAAGTCAAAAGACAATGAGACTTAGGCAATTTTACAAGCTTTTCAAGATGGCAGCTGCATCAAGAAGAATTAAATAAATATCATATATTCAATTATAATTTTCTGAGAAACCTAAAAAAAAAAATGACTTGGACAATTATTTTAGGAAGGTGAGGATATTATAGTGTGATGATTGAAAAACGATTAAATATTCATGGTATTTGCACAAACAAGTATCTCAGTTAACCATGTAAAGCCTAAATAATAGTGGATGGAACAGTTCATTGAAACTTTAAACAAAATTTAAAACAAAAAAAGTTATGTTTTGCATCATATTTGATTAAGCAGGCTTTTTTGACCTATATAGTAAATGGTATTGTGAGAATATGGTGCTCATACCCGAGGAGGAAAAACACGTCAGTTTAATTCAGAGGTCCAAACTGAGTAAAAATGTGAAAAGATGATATTATTTAAATGGCCAAAAAGTAAAATCAAATTCAGATTTCTTGTAATGTAATTCAATGAGATGTTTTTATTACAGCACAACAGACTACTTGCATATAATTGTTAAATGTTAAAATGAATATAAATGCATTTTAACATGAAAAAAAAATGAAAACTAAACTTCATGTTGCTTCAGTCCAGTAAATGTTCATCTTTAATATTATTAACATTATAAAATGTATTCTTACGAGGCCTTTTACTTGCTAAAAACATATGAACTATCAAGCAAAGTGCAAAAAAGCATGTTGAATATTTTACAAAATGTGTTTTTCAGCAAAGTTTTGACTGTTGATAATTTAGAGGCCTTCGAAATTCATGTATCAAATATGATACAGTAGGATTATGATGTGGAGTTATGAAATCTTTTTTTTTTTTCCCTTCTGGCACTAAAACAAACTGTACTGAGGATTCAGCACATTTCAGTCAGAAGCCGTTGCTTGCCATGTCGATTATGTCCACATTTCTTGGGTTTGAGCCAAATTGGACAATTTTTGCCTTTTTCTGTGTCTATATTCTATACATCATTTATCATATGAAAACAATTTAGGACCATAATATTCCTTTCGTGTGTAAGTATACAGACTTGATTAATGTGCTTCTAGTTCCTCATTCAATAGACTTCAGTATTTTGTTGCAAAATGTAGATTTATTCCAGGTTTACTATGTATTTTTCTGTTGCTTTGCAGGCATTTGTTTCTGATGCATGTGAAGGAGGAGCTTTTCAAAGGAAGCTTGCGATTGGACGCAGAGCAGGCGATCAAGCTCTCTGCACTACTGGCTCAGGCAGAGTTTGGAGATTACAACCAAAACACAGCCAACTACTGCTACTCACAGATCTATGGTCAAGAGCCCAGCCATGACACCATCAACAAGTAAGAACTCTGGGAAGTGAATATTCTCAGTCAGAATGACATTTGTTCTTCCTCCAAACAACACTAATTCTTTCTCTAAATGCAGTATGAAAAAAAGGAAGTGATTCAGATAGTTTTGTGTAATAATAGTGCTGTCTTTCACGTTTTTATAGTATTTGTTTGAGGCATAAGGCATTGGAGGGTGTTAGTCAGGCTTCAGCAGAATATCAAGCCCTGCAGCTGGTTTCCTCCCTCAACTACTATGGCGTGGAGTGGCATTCTGCGCGTGACTCTGAGGGACAGGAGCTGCTCATCGGGGTCGGACCAGAGGGCCTGTTCGTCTGCAAAACAGATTTCACCACAATTGAAAGGTACATTTATATGACAAATATAAGAAATATTATTTAAATAGGTCATTTAAAGATTAAAAAAATGTTTCTATACCATTATTTCTGATTAAAAATCAGAATCGAATCTTTTCCCCCAGAATCGTATACCCAGTCATTCAAATGGCCACACAGTCCGGAAGGAATGTGTATGTGACCATCACAAAGGACAGTGGGGACAGTATGGTTCTCCTTTTTAAGTTCATCAGTCCTTGTGCTGCCAATGGACTATATCGCGCTATCACAGAGATTCACTCCTTCTATAGGTAAATACTGTTATAATTCTATTAGACTTGCTTCATTTTTGGACGAAATAAACCGTTTACTGTTTCTGTTCATTCTGTTTAACCAGGGTTGTTTTAGTTTTGAATTTCAAATTTTTTTCTTTTTTGTCTTTAAATTAGCATTTTCCTTTAGTTTTTGTTGGTTTTCACTCTGTGAAACTTTATTCTAGTTTAGCATTTTTTTAGCATGTATTTTTTGGTAATTTTTATCATTACTGTTTTAGAGTCATAAAAAAACAGAACATATTTTAGTTTAGTTTTTGATTTCCCAGTTAAGCTACTTTTTAATTTGATTTCAATAAACAAAAATATTTTAATGTTATTTACATTTTAGTTATTGCTAACAATAATTCAACTGTGTTTAATTACTGCATTTGATTCAATTTAACTTAATGTAAAGAAGAAATACATCATTAATGATCAATAAATATTGTACATTTTTAGAACAATAAAACATTGAAACAATTTAAAACCCATGTTTAATTCAACACATTTTAAACTTAACTCTTCAGGTGTGACACTGTAATGAGCACGGTGAAGATGCAATATAGCCGAGACTTCAAGGGTCACCTGGCCTCCCTCTTCCTCAATGAAAGCATTGACCTTGGTAAACGGTACATCTTTGACATTCAGCGCACATCCAAAGAAGTGTATGACCGTGCCCGGCGAGCCCTGTTCAATGCAGGGATGACTGTGAATGGATGTGGGAGCCCAAGAGACAGTGCCAGTCACTCGCCGCTGAGACAGATAAAAGTTGAAAGGGAAAAGCGAATGTGTGTTGGCTGCAGAGAAACTCACATTCTCAAGGAGAAGCTCCAAATGTTACAAGATGCCCTGACCTGCGCTCTGTGCTGCGAACAGGAGATCAATGCTGCTTTCTGTCCTTGTGGACACATGTTCTGCTGCTATAAGTGTGCCAGCCAACTTCAGGTGATTATTGCATTATTACTATATACAGTATGTGTATATATAAATAGAGAGAGAGAGCATATTCAACATTCATGACAATATAAAATCAAAGTGTGATTTTCTCATGCTTAGGAATCGTCATCTAAATTGACCAATTAAGTTAATGATTAAGAGAACTTGCACTATTCGGATTACATAACCTCTGGTTACCCTCTTTGGATATTTCTGGACATTTTCCATCGACCATTAGCGGCTGTTCAAGCTGAAGATCTTGATAATCAGACATTTTCGTTACGCAGCAGTCCTTTGACCTTTTGAACATGTAGTACATAGTAACCCTATGACGTGTTATATCAGTTCAGTAAAACTGGCACATCACCCAACTGCCTAATTAACATGAACAATAAAAATACAGAGGTGTTAGATAAGATGAATTGGTTTGTATGTTAATATTCGTGATATTTTACCTTCTTTCCTCTCTTATCAGTGTTGCCCAGTTTGCCGTTCAGAAGTGGACCGTGTTCAGCATGTCTATTTACCCACCTGTGCCAGTCTACTTGGCTTGGCAGAGGCAAAAACCACTACTTCAGTGTGCCCAGCGGGACTGCCGTCTCAGAGGATTGTATCAATAAAGAAAACACCTGCCAGCTGTAGGATGGATAACATCTGCACACCACACATGGACACTATTGGCCACAGAATATTTGAATATTTTAAAAATACAGAGGAAATGTTAGGATAAAATATTTAGTGGTTCTATTAAGCTGAACTGCACAGAGTGAGGCTGGCTATCCAGAAGTACCTCAAAAAAAATCTGACTACTGCTAATCATACTGTTATTTTACATAGTGTGCACATTACAGGGTTAAAAATGAATAAACCATTTACACTGGGGGCAACTGTTGTTCATGCTACACAGCAATAGCAACATTTCCTGTGATTTTTTTATGTACTGTATCAGAATGTCAAGACAAATGTAGTTAACACTCCACATCATCAACTATATTCTTTATCAAAAGGGATTTTTTAAAGGTTTATTTTATATTTGTCTTTGTTTGTGTATGCAGTTTTATTGAACGAATATTTCAAATAATATATTTCATTTAATTACACAAAATGGGAGTCTTTCTAGTGCTACTGCGGTATTCACAAAATAAGCCTTTAATGCACTATTACAAAAAGGTCTAAATAACAAAGAGTTATGTCCTCTTTTTTACTGACATGTATTTCATCCGTATCCGAACAGAATAAAGAGCTTTTACACACCTTTTAATACCCGCCTGTTATTATTATATTTGTTTTGTTGAATTAATTCAAGGATAGATTAATTCTCCATTATACAGTAATATATTACACCTTTCCATGTGTACCCTTGGTCATACAAACTAGTCACACAAACACGGACAAACAGTTTTTTCTCTTGATCCTCTCATATTTAGCTGTATTATATTTTGAACAAGCAAGCATTGATGAAACTTTATCTAACCTGGCAATATCAACAAATCTCTCCAACAGTGGTCCAGTCTATGAACCATGCTGAGTATAGTACGGAGTCCCATTGTAAAGTTATGAGACTCACGTTTTGCACGTATAACTTTACCAATAAACTGTATGTGCAACTAGCTGTATATATACATGTGTTACAGAACTGATATGTACAGTGTCTGATGTGTCAGAACTGATGGCAAAGGTTATAACTTATATAATGTTATCATGATTCTGAAGTGGCAGTACAGTAGAGTACAGTAAAGACAACTACTAAATATCTGTAAAGCAAATACCTGACAGTGTTATGCTTTACAGAGCATGGCCAGTTGAATACAATGTTGTGTTAGAAGGGAGGCCCACTGTCTTTGACTTTGAAAACTATTGCCATAGATGCTTTTAGTCTGTCCATTAGAGGTTGTATCACATAACTTGTGTGATATTGCTTATACAGTAGTAGATTGAAGCCTATGCAAAATATCAATCTTATTTTGTTACTCATTTTATCAACCGAGTTTATTCAGTTTAAACACATAGCTTCATTTAGAATTAAAACTGCTACTGTTTTGTCTGACGTCAAGTGAACGTGCTTTAATACATGCTTTAATACAGCGGATGTTGTTAAATGTTTAAGCCTACAATCAATCTGTTAATCATAAAGCAATCAAGTCTCTTCAGAACATTTGGACTAAACCGCTCAATTCATATGGACAATTCAACAACATGCGGGTAATAACAGAATTCAAATTGTTGGGTAAACTATCCCTTTAAACCACCTCTAATGGACAGAATCTAAAAAAGCATCTATGGCAGAAGTTTTCAAAGTCAAAGAAAGTGGGCCTCCCTTCTAACACAACATTGTATTCAACTGGCCATGCTCTGTAAAGCATGTCAGGTATTTGCTTTACAGATATTTAGTAGTTGTCTTTACTGTACTCTACTGTACTGCCACTTCAGAATCATGACAACATTATATTAGTTATAACCTTTGCCATCAGTTCTGACACGTCAGACACTGTAGATATCAGTTCTATAACACATTTACAGTATATATCGAGATAGACTATTATATAAGGTAGTAGTAAATGTTCAGGAAATAACTCAAAAATAACTCCTTAAAGCCCCAGATTTGGAGGGTCTGTCAGCTGCAGGCCAGGTACAGAATGTTCTAAGATAACTACTATGCATTAACTATATATGCTTACAGACAAATCTATAAGCCCAAAGTTCATAACTCTTGCACAATTTTTGCCTGAGTCACAAACTACTTTCATGTCAAGCAACTTCTGGTTCAAACTTGAAATCACTGAGAGCGGGTATTCACATGTTTTATGTATTGGGTGGCTGAAGTTTTATGTAAAGTAGATCTATCACATACCAGAAGTAAAGCAAATTTTCCCACACCATGTGTGTGTATGAGGAATTTATAGAATACGTGTGGTCAGAATGCTAATATCTAAGGAGGCTTTCTAAACACAACCTTGTCTTTGCCATTGAATAATTCAAGGCATCTATATGAATGTGGCCTGCAGTTGTAACTTACCAAACTTACCTGTTTCAGTTTCAATTTCAGGTTTATTGTCACAAATAAAATATCAGTTTAAAGGAAAGAGGCAAGTAAAATTGGCACAGTATTTTATTAGAGTGATTATACAGATACAATAGATTTGTACTATACAGGAAGTTATTGACATATTTGCCAAAAGTCGAGTCCGACGTTCCTTTCCATTTCACAAAAATCAAAACAGCTACAAAAACTTGCAAGCACCACCAAATAAATGATCACTGACTTCACTGAACAGTCTTGGATGCTCTGTTCACAAACACAATACAGTTAGAAAAGTTGAGGTTGACTTCCGTCTTAATTGCTTTTTGTCAGTTTGTAGAAAAGGAGCTTTTCAAAGAACGAGAAAAATATCACAGGTACACGAATCACACAAATATAGTCATTTACATCAAATATATAAGAAAGTGAGAAATCAGTTATGTGCTTTTTTTTACTTCTTTTTTTAAAGATAAGTGTCTCTGAGATCTAACGGGAGGTAAACTATAGAACTTCCTTTAAAATAATATTTAAAAACAAAAAATGGGATCAGTGACTGTGTATTTTATAGATCAATCTCTAGATGTCAAGTTTGGTCTTCCAACCCTTAATGAGGCCTTGTGGTATTGCTAGAGCTAATCCTGGCTATAAACCATTGAGGCATATGCATACAACAAATCCTGACTGTCTTTGGACACCCATATAGCCATATTGTTGATGCCCAACCTTGTACATTACACCAGACAGTTTTATTTTCTCCTATGAACACATTTTCAATAGCAAGCATGTGAGCTACACCCACAACATATCATCATGCTAGCTAAAGTTAGCCTCGATACATTGCGTGTACAGTGATGGGCTGTAGAGGGCACAATAGTCAGCCAGTGACTTAGCACTGGAGCTAAAATGACTTCAGTTTTAGTTGTAATGTTGTTACTGTGTGTAACTGAGTGTTTTTGCAAAAAGTAATACAGGAAACAGAAACAGTCTTCGGGCCAGTTTCTCAACCTGAGAATTCAGTTTCACTATAAATCGCTATAACGCTTTTATGCCTTCAAGTGGTTTACAGCCTTCTTTTTTAACAAGAAAAAAGGTTTTTATTTTATGCAGATGATAATAAATCACTATTGTTAGATTGAAACAGAAACGCACATAAAAGAACATTGCCAAAAACCTGACTGACTTCAAAGAAGTTATCCACACAGTGCACACATTCACACGCGCACACACACACACACACACACACACACACACACCCACTCTGAGGTTTAAATGTACATAGCTACACAGGGAAAGGGTATAGAGAAAAGAGAGAGAACAATGATACATATGAAACAAACAACAGTCCAGAAAAACATTGACAATTTCGTAATGGTTTCTATTGTCATAGCACTAAGTCTTCTACTGCCTTACCAAGATCACCATTACAATAGACTCCATTGAACAAATTATAGGTATGTGAGGCTACTAATCAACCATCCCTTTCATTGTCCTCTCTCTTCAAAAGTGCATAAATTCCAAATCCAAATTGGACTGAATGTGCAATCAAGCATTACGTCTGCAATATGAGGTCTATTATGATTCCATCTGAATATAACCCTAGACACAACAATACATTTACTTAAGTCAGTCAACAAACTCACACTCATGACCACACATATCAAAATGTTAGGTGACCTACCGAGCTAGCAATATGAAGTGTTAACTATAACACTCCATACTTACACTTGACTTTTCTCTTTAAAATGTGTATTTGTGCAAATAGCAAAATTATTATATGAATTTCAATATTTCTTTCTGAATTTATAACAGCAGTCAATGGAGTTAGATAAGAATTATTTTGTGACTGTTTTGCACGAAAAATACAATCCCATGTGACTTTTATTTATGGAATATAGCAATTATATTTGTCATATAAAAAAAACTTTGTCTTATTATCTTATCATTTTTCATTGCAGTGTACTAAATTAATTTCTTTAAATTTGTTTAGCTTGTCCAGTACAGCAAAAATAAAGACAAATAGACAAGGTGGATACTAAAATCTAAAATAGTGTCTCAACATTCATCATTTTCTTTCTTTTTTTTCTCTGCGGAGAACACAAAGACTGTCCATGTTTAGGTCACTAGTGACATACTGCTAATTATGATGAAATCAAAATAATTTTAAAAGAGGATTGAGGCATAGTCCATTAAACATATCCTAGATCATGTCTAATTTTCACAAACCAACTTTTCCCATTTTCGCCTACTGGAAAATTTCATTTTCAATAGAAGAACAGATTGAACAAAGCACCACATCCTCCTTTGACTCACTGATTTTTGCTAATTAAATTATTATATCTGGATATATTTTATCCACATAATTTTGTTAACTTCATTAGATGATGAATTTCTTGTATAAACAAGTTTTGATACAAAAAGGCCAATTCTATTAGGATGAACATATGAAACGTTGCGTGTTTTGAACATCAAGAATCCGGTGTCGATTTAGTTTTCAATGTATGGTGATTATATTGTGTCTTAACAAAGAGTTCTTTAATGCAGCTGGACTGAGAAAGGCCCACAATACTTAAAATAGTGTAAAGCAGACATCAGTAATTTAAAAATACCAAATGAGAGGTGCGTTACACATAAAATGGATAGTAATGCACAAAATGAATTGACTAACAGAACTCAAAACTGTCTGTTGTTGTAGTAACAAAACAGAAGTGGGAATGTTTCCAACCTATCATTCATTCGACTTCCCTTAACCTTTCTTTAAAGTGCTAATTCTGACTTGAGCGGAGACTTTTCTACAGCCAGTTTGACAATGTGAAGATTTCTTCAACGCTTTCTCACTCACAGATTCGATGAGGCAATCTGATTGGGTTATTTGCTAAATGCACATATGAGGTATGTGAAAGCTCAGTATTGCATATCTAGAAGACTATCAGCAATTGAATTAAAATATAAGGATAAAACATTCAATGTATTTTGATGCTATACTTGACCTAGATATGATTCAAAGTAGTCACTTGAGCAAGGCCTGTCATTCTCAGCTGACATTATATAAGTACAGGATTATGGGGGCAGTAACAAGTAGAAGGTGGCTTCTGTCAAGATAAACGCGCTCGCTCAACTCCTCGAAATCACTTATCTGCAATATTCACACAGATTACATATCTCACTGTTCACCTTTTGCCATCACTCCTTGTAACGGTCCTTATCCAGTAAAGGCCCAGATTATGAATGAACTCAGTAAACACAACAGTAGACTAAATTAGACTAAATGTGTAGCAAGTTGAGTGTAGCAAAAAAAAAAAAAAATGGTCAGACATTGCAATATACAACCCAAAATTGTATTGTCCAGCTGATTTAAAAGGAAAATCTAAAGATAAATATTACATATGAGACGAACCAAATGATCACACACATTCTTGTGTAAAAAGATATAACATTACAGTAACCTGGATATGAATGTCATAGGAAAGCAACGCAAAGTACTAAAAAGAAAATCGGCTCTTCCTTGTCCCTCTTTGAGTTCATGGCAGTGATGGGGAAATTTTTGTGGTTGAAGCAAAAGCATTGGACACCAAGCAAAAACAAATTTTATTCAGTTGATCAACTTTATGTGATTTCTCAAATTAATCAAGTAAGGCTAATTGATGTATTCTTGGAAAGAAAACAACTCCCTATCAATCCTCTATGATGTTCAGAAGGCCCTCAGCAACCCGTGCTGGAGCGACCCTCAATGCTGACCTTCAGCTGATGTGGGAGGAAGGAAAATTTGGGTAAAATCTGAGGGTCCTCTTGCGACCTCCACATTTCTCCTCTCTCTGGGGCAGACCATCTCCTCTTGCGGCTAACTGCTCTCTCTGCACTAGATGTGTGTGTTTTTTCTGCCTGGTTGTTTTGGTTGACCAGTGTCTGAGGATTTATGCCCCCGTTCTCTGAGAAGGTCAACACATTTCTTTGGTTGGAAGTCTCAACCAGTGTTCCTTCGACACTATTCTCCACTCTTGATGTAATTTTGTGTCCTTTCTTAAGATCCTCCATTTGGGTTGGTCTTTCCTCAATGGACCCATTGTTTTTGGCTGATTTCAAAGGGTTGTTGTGTTTCATCACAGACGCTGAACAATTATTTTTCTTTTGAATGCTATTTTTTAGGCTTTTAAGAGTGAGAGAGATACAAACATCACCCACAGAGAGCTTGGCACAGGATAGAGCTAGCAACTGGGTGGTGCGATCAGGGCAGCAGGATGACCAACCTTGACCAAACACAAAGAAGGGGTATTCCACCAGGACTTCTACACACACCTAAAATAGAGAAAAAACAATAATATTTTAGTCCCGAAGGTTCATTCAGCACTACCGAAGATTACGGCTAACATAGTAAAGGAGCTTGATTTAAAAAGAAACGGACTCACCTGGGCTTTGTTCTCTCCCACCGAGAATTGTATGATGACAGCATTGGGTGTTCGGCTGCACTCTATGCGCTCTACAGTGCTGGAGTCAATCTTCAGTTCTCCACTCACCTCTGCACTTTGAACAAAGTCCTCTGTTCGCAAATCCTCCACGCGTTTCAGCTCACCGTCTGCCAACTGGATAATAGAGCCCTTCATGAAGAATGGTGGTAGGCCCGCTGATGGTGATGATGGTGAGCTTTGAGGGCTTGTAGATGCTGGAGGTGTTACAGGGACTGGAGATCCCACTACATTGGCTGAAAGAACAGGCAGCTGTATTTGGCTTGGACTTCTCATGGCACAGGGGGCATGACTTCCATCAGACCCTGTGATGTCTTTACCATTGGCTAGGACTGAAGCTGCAGCTGCAGGTGGGGATGTATTAATAAAGGTCTGAGGCAGAGTTGTTGATGCATTGGCTACACTAGGGATGACAGAACAGTGGGTGACCTCTGGCTCAGCAGTAGATGGATTGATGTTAGTGGCACTAACCGGAATGAGCAAGGAGGGGTTGCCTGAGATCACCACGTGCTGTGGCAGGTTGCTTTGATAACCAGTTACTGCTTGCTGGGGTCCACCAGAAGCACTAGTGATGTAGCCAATAATTGGGAGCTGTGTGGCAGGATAAAGGCTGGTGGAGAGCTCCTGCTGGGGGGTGTTGTGAGGAGCCTGCAGGAGTGTGTGCTGCGAGATGGTGGAGGCCGGTGAAACTTGGCTGTCTGAGGAAGTAAGAGCGGACACTCTGGACATTGGCTTACCTAGGCAGATACCTCCTCTCTCAGCAAGGTGCAACGATGAGTGGTCCTTGACCATGACACTTTGGAACTCAGAGTTGCTGTTTGCTGCAAGGTGGCTACTGGATACCAACATCAGCGATGTCTGTAGTCCTGCTCTGTCATGAGAGCTATAGTCTGCTGGGAGCAAAACCTGAGCTTGGGTCTGGAGGCCCAGGTTATGATTTTGCTTGTGACTCTGGTCACCTTCTGGTTGGCTAGAGATCCCTTTGGCCATAGTAGTACCGGGCTTGACAACTGTAACCTCTCCCAGTGCACCATTTTGCACCTCTCTGGGATGGGAGTCCAGCTGCTTCGCAATGAAGCCATCAGTGTAGTGTAGAACCACTTGAGAGGGGGTGAGAGCCAGGGCATGAGGGGCAAGGACAGTTGAGTGTGGATGGATTTGAAGGGGCAGTTGGACAGAAGGGGAGGAAACTGTCAAACCCAAAGGAGCACTCTCTACCTGAATGCATTGACCATGGGAAACATTTGATATAGAAGAAATTGCATGATGACTCTGTGAATCAAGGCTGGATGCTTGAGAGATGACAGCTGTTGTGGCCAAGACCTCTTGTGGTGTCCTCCGTGTCTGTGTTGGACTGGATGTGGATGGTACAATCTGTGAAGAGATATAACTTGTATAGGGCCCTATGAGCTGGAGATTGGGGGAAGTTGTGTATATTGGACGGAGCCTATAGTTTGGGGAAGGCTTGAGGAGAGAACTGTAGGATTGGCTGTTAGCACGGTAGGCCCAGAGAAGACTCCTCTGTATGTGGAGCTATTGGAAGAGAATGAAAAGCCAGCAGATGAAGTAGCTGTAGGATATTCTGTCACCACAGTGAGAGCCTTATTTGATGGTGGGGGGCTGTCAGGATCTGCACTGTTGCTCAGTGATGGGCCTGCATTGTTGGGGATGTGGGCCATGCTAGCCATGGTAGCGACGCTGGCTAGCCAAGCCAAATTCTCTCCACTCTGGCTCTCACTAACAGCAGCTGACACCAGCACCTGCTTCTCTTCCAGAGCTAAAATCTCCCGCTTCTTCGGCGGAAGACACTCATTACAGCGCTCCTGGTTAGACTTCATGGTCTTGGAGTTTTTCCTGTATTTTAACCCACTTGTCTTGATCAGGATTTTTTAGAGTGCAAAGTATATCTCAGTTGTCAACATTTTCATAGTTATATTACTTTGCCCCGCTTTTACCTTGGTCTTGCGTAATGTCAGGACTCTTGTAATGAAAGGATCCATGTGCTTCATGTGGAATCATCTCTCACTGATGGTTATAAGTCCGTACCTTCATCAGACAGACAAAAAACAAAAATGAGAAACTTTATGCGCTGCCTTTGAGTAGCATATAATGTTATTTTTTACCTTAACATCCATTCAGTTATGGGTGCCAAATAAAAAAAATAGCTTGAAATGGCACATATTTGAATTTGATTAGCAACTGAAAATTTAGAGTGGTGAGTGGTGCAGGTATGACATTACTTTGTAGGCCAACCGGCAGTTAGCATCACACTGGTTCCCTCGACAAAAACCCAATGGGATTTTCCCATAGGCTTTTGCATTATCGCTAAACTTGAAAGCTTCTTGAGCATGTGTTCACCACAGACCTTATTTCATGCATTTAACCAAAACCCCATTAAAAAAACCCATTGACTTCGGGACAATGGATCTGGAAGTGCTCAAATGCGAACATGCTTTCGCGCTTTGGCCTACAAAGTGATGTCACACCAGCACCACTGTTTAGCTGACTGGCCCATGCTAACCTGCCAAAACTTGGCCACTCTAACTTCCTTTTCAATTCCATGTGTAGTGTAAACCACACTTTACCAGTTTAGTGAAAAAAACAACATCAATGTGTTCATTCAGTGAGTAGAATGGTAATATATTTTGAGTAAAGCTCACACTATTTTATTCAAGTGATAATATATAGTTCTATCAGAGACTTCAGATAACACATCTCCATCATTAAATCCTCCTCATGCTTCAAGGGCTCAAGCTCATAATGTTTGCATATACATACATAATGTCCATCTACATACATCAACGAGGATAAAGAGAGCACCGGGTGCAAACTTAACATGCACTGAGAGTGTATGGACAGGAAAAAGATGAAGGAAGAGAGAGAAAGAGAGAACACTGGCTCTCCTGACCCACATTGAGCTCTGCCTGCAAGCGAGCAGGGTTATTGAGTTAGAGTGTAACAGCAGAGAGAAGACAGAGAGAGATAGTAGAGAGAGAGAGAGTGCGGGAGGGAGGGAGAGACCACAGTAGATCTGCACCAATCACTGTCCTACTTTCCCCTGCTACAGTGTACACCACACACAGCCATTAAATGCTTCAGTCTATTGTACACAGCTCACAATACACACATACACATCAGCATATCCATTGGACTGATACGCAATTATGCATGTGTGATTTGGTGCAGAGTGCTCATGAATCAAAGAACAATAGAATGGTAGTGATCACTAGATCACAATTTTAACCAAAATACAAACGTAACCAAAATACAAAAAACAACAACAAAACATTACATTTAGATATAGATTCCCCTGTACCATTTCATGCAATCGCAGGGATCCATAACAAACCTTTATGAGTGACACATCCTAAAACTGGAGGAAAAACACAAAAATTCCCAATGCAAATTCCCAATGCAGGCAGACAATATTTTTTACCATATTCACCAGACAGACAGTCATTCATTGGATTGTACAAATGCTTTAATGAGAGATTGAATCAGTGGATATCAAGCCCAATCGATTATAATTATAATAAAATAAGGCTAAAAAATATAATAATGTATATAAAAAATATAATAAGTCTAAAAAATTTAATAATGCAAGTATACTGACTACAGCCGTCAGTATACTTGCATGCATATTGCTGGTTCCTTATAAGGAGAAATCATATTTCAGCTTAGAGGAGAACTTAGGAGGAAACATTTGTGAGAAAGTTTCAAGAATACATACATTTCACACTTTATTTGTGTTTCTGTATGTCTACTTCTCTCTTGCAGGGTGTTATATTTGCCTGTCTATTTCCAGGGAGTTTCAAGCACTACTGAAATACACCCACAATTCAAAATAGCTATCTTAAACTAAGCCTGTAAGGCAATACAGCTGCACAGACATAAAAGTAATGCTTAATTTCTGTTTTCTTTCTCCTTTCAGGGTCACAGAGCTGTAGTCCACGACAACAACAGATGGGTTTTTATTGAAAGAACCTCAAAGAGAGTACTAAATTGAACTAAATATATTTTATATCCCTGCATTTAACTCTCAGAAACCTTTAGAGCTTTATTAAGACATTGTTTAAATTCTTAAATAAATCATAGTGATTTCAGTTGTACTATCCCTTTACTATCCCTTATAGGGACATCTAGTCCTCACAATGTATGCAAAACCTTACCCACACACCCCACACACACACACACACACACACACACACACACACACACTTGCTTACAGTGTGGCTGGCCAAAGAGCTAGAAAGATTAACAACTTGCAGGATCCTTCTAGTTCTTTAACAGCATATCTCATCATACTCTGCAGACCAAATGTCATGAACGCAACATATTCACACCAATAAACCCATGCAAACACATTAACACACTGATAGTTAATAAAGTAATTTATTAAAAATTGGCACAAAAAAGACTAAATATTCCCATTTTACAAATTATCTGCTGTACAAACAAATAGTAACATCATTTTGCTACGTACTGTAATACAAAGTTATTTCTATGCGTGTAATATCTTCAGGAAAACATTACTTGCATGATGCTGTGACACCTTTTTCAATGATGTCATCTCAGAGATGACTGAACCCGTGCCAATGATAATGTGTACAAATACAAACATAACTTGTCTAAAATGAAATGCTCCTATTAACGTCTATCCTCAAAAAACATGCCCATCTACTAAAACCGCTTTTCACTTATGTCCATTTATCTCCCGAAAGCAGCTCCTTTCTGCACTTAATGACCTTTTATGGGTGCCTGTCCCTTTAAGAGGCAGCCTAGGGAGTCCTAAGCTAGACATGAATCCAAACAGAGCTGTTGCTGCCTTTACAAAGGCTAAAGCCTGTTTCTCTACTCACCCTACAAGCAAAAGAGCACAACATACAGTGTCACACTGAAACATTTGCACAGAATTGCAATTATTTCTGCAAATCCTATTGGTAATTAGCTATTCTAATACAATAATTTCTCAGATGCACATTATTTTTTCTTCTCTTCTTGGAATTAAAGAATAATCGTGCAATAAGTATGATTGGAAACCAATCAAACATTTCATCAAAGGGTGATGCCTTACCTTTCTTTATAGGGGAGCCTTTAACAACTCTCTCTCTCCTCTCTCTCTCTGCACTACGAGTGTAACTCACTCTACCCACTGGCAAGCTGTCCTTTGTCCAGGTTTAGCTCTGCTATCAGGTCACACACGCAGTCCTCTGATTTATGTCTTCTTCCATGTCCAATGTTCCCCCTGCCTGCACTCTTCCACTTCCTTCGACAATTGCTCGGTGGGCCGAAGGTAAAGGAAGTCCCCTCGTCTGCGCTGTTTCACTAGCCCTACGTGTGAGAGCTACAGCGTATGTTATGCAAGGCACACTGACTGCCAGCTCTCTCTCTCTCTCTCTCTCTCTCTCTCTCTTGCTCTTCACACATACACACACAGTGCTCTAGAGAACACGGCTCCTCCTCCCCCAGTCAGCCTCAGCAGCCTCATCAGGTATTCATTCAAAAAACACACTCCACTTGGCAGGGCGCCCAGACTACGCACACATGGAGAGACAGAGAGAAAAAGAAGGAGAGGGAAAGGGAGGGAGGGAGGAAGGAAGAAAAATTGTGAGCAAGGGACCGAGCACACTGGAAGGAACACGTACCCTCCCGTAGACCACTGCACTCGCGAGAAACACAAACACACCACAGACCATGAAATTCCCTTGAGAGAGTCTTAGTGAGGGTTTCTAGGCGTTTTCTCGCTTTCTTTCTACAACTAGTCAGTTTCTCTTGCTGGAAAACTAATTTAGTGCCTCACCACCATTACATGTGATCAGAATGAGCACATTTGCATTGAGCTATATAAGTCTGTCCTGAAATAAACCCAGAAGGTTTCCCTAACGTTAGTGTATGCTTCCCGCTTGGTTATTTCTTGGGAAACCATTACTGATGGCACATGTACTAACATTGCAGGGAGGTTTTGTGTGATGTTTGCGTATAGAGACCCATTGCAGCATGAATACTAAACGTTCTCTAATTGTATACATTCACATTTAGCAGTTCATTATCATTAGCCTATAGGCCTACACACTTGACTCCCAGAATTGCACAATTACTTACATATTTGACTCAAAATCCCCCTATAATTCAACACAATATTTAAAGGTCCATTGCTAAATATTAGGTATAGAAGAATACACCAAAAACAAGCACATATTATTATTATGCAAATGCACGCGCCTAAAAAAGCACACACACAAACATAGAAACCCATATGACTCTCACATTAAGCATGTAAAGTAGTTGCAATTCACCCTCAGGGGGGAACCACATGCAAATAGTCACTTGTTCCATTACACACACACTCACATACAAAAATGTTATCTTCCCACACAACCTTGAGACGATCTGAAAACACCCTGTGTTTGAAACACGTGGTGTCAACCAGGAGAAATGCTTAGAACATAGAAAAGCCATCAGCAATATGTAACCTCTAATATTAGCCTGGCCTGGTTTACTCTCTCTGAGCAGATCTTAGCACTGCATTTGGTGTGTCTGCCAAACCACAGACAGATACAAAGCCACCATATAGTATATGAACACACTAAACATAGACTTCTCAAAGCCAATCATTCATCCAAAAATGGACATCCCTCAGTGTGTCGTCCTCTTGATCTTGATGAGGAATCCTAATATTCTTTTGTGTCAAATGTTTTTTTTAAATAAATTAATAGTTTTAATCAGCAAGGATGCAAATTTGCTCAAAAGTGACATACATGTAAATACATGATACAAAAAGTCTGTTCTTTTGAACTTTTATTCATAAAATAATTCTGAAGGAAAGTGTATCACAGTTACCATATAATTATTAAGCCTCAACTGTTATGAGACAATTCTACATTATAGTTGTTTTCTTGCCAGAGGCAACAGGCATCCAGCAGTTTTAGCTGAGACTGTTAGGAAGACTCAGGGAATACCTGTACATTATCACTCTGGATGGCTCAGTGTCTAAACCCTACAAAGCCATACAGAGAGACAGTCTTTGATGTATCTCAATTCCTTCTAATAGCAGGAGAGTTTGGGAGAGTTGCTATGTTACTGTTTGTTGAGGTATTGCCTTAACCAGTCACTAGGGACATGAAAAAGCGATGAAGTGTTCTGTCTCGAGTGCTAGTCTTATTAGTTTCTCTGTTTCTGTTTGTCTTCTTCTACTTATTATTATTTTTTTGCCCTCACTCCCAGGTCTCAGAAAACTCAGACTAAACAGACATAACTACAACGAAAGAAAAATTGCATGCATCACAAAGAGGAAATGCACTCACAATGGTCCATGATCAGGTCAATTTTTCTTCTTAAGGTCATCCAGTCACTTTTGCAAAACTCTAGAGCAAAACAATATTGCATAATTCCATAATTACTGCTATGTTTGCTGTATTAAGTACTGACCCCATTCAGTCTTCATACTGAAAGAACTTTCACCCTACAGAACCATCCTGACATTTCTCATTGATGCAAGACATGTCCTAACATGTCCAGACATGTATAAGGGAGACAGGACTTTGCACTGGACACACTGCTAACATAATAAATTATGTAGTAGAGAGGACCAACTTAAATGAACACAATTCAGGTCGCAGAATTTAAAAAATAAATACATTTAATAAATAATATTTAAGATATTTTAAATGATTGTATATGGTAGGCTATATTTTATTTCGAAGCCACCAAAGATAATGATGAGATAGTTACGTCATTTATTCATATAGCTTCACTTGGATTAGCAAGACTAGCCATACAAATATGGCTTTTGGCACGAGTTGCTCAGAACAGCTAAATTTATGCCGTTGTTATCTAATTTTATTTCTAATTTGAAACATATTAAAAAGCAATTTGGACAATCAGTTTTAGAGGCTTCGGTCTCTCCCTATAGGAGCGTTTTTTGTCGGATGTTGCCAATATGGCCGCTGAGAAAACTGACTTCCCTTAAAGGGACTTTTCTAACGGAAGGCCACCAGTCCCGTGCCATGAGTGAGATCTGTCTGTTCACACTTTTAACTGGAAAGTCCAATGATTTAGGAGGTACTATGCCATCTCTGAGCATGTGGGAAGATTATGCAAGGACCTGTGTTGCCGAGGTAACAAGGACAGGGTGTACCTATTTCTCAAGGCTTCCACCTTGACAATTTTTCTGAGTCATGCGTTATGTGAAATTGTATGTACGCATGTGAATAAATGCTTTTCTATAGATTTCACATTCTAGCACTGTATTTGTCAAAAATTGTTGCACCCTTAAATCAATGGACATTTGACAAGAGGTACAGGTTAAATTTGGATTAAATTTGGATGATTAATTGACAATATGTTCAGGACATATGACATGTTAGTGTGCTTGCAAGGCCCAACTGACAGCAAAACAGATGACCTCTTCAACTGCTAAGAAATCACATAATCAGTTAGTACTATTTTGCAGGTACAATGTTGTTTGGACCCCTAGACTTTCAAAAATCTTCATAAATCATACAGGTTTGGAATGGCATGAAGGTGACAGATGATGACAAAGCTTTAATTTTTGGGTGAACCATGGCTTTCAAGTACTCTATTGACTTCTTAAACAGAGTTGACCACAACAACAGACAACCAAAGCTTTCTGAATGTAAAATGTTTTTCCATGTCTTTCAGAGCCAGTATTTCAAACATTAAGCCAAAAATAGCTCTGGCCTACACTTCTGCTGAGAATACAACACAAAGACAAGGACAAGAATGGTTAAAGGAGCAGCTCAACCACTTTACAAGCACAGATATGAAGAACATTGTCATTGTTTTCTTTAACCACTGTCAAGGGGTTAGCAACGTTCAGTGGTATAAAGTGCTGAATGCCTAATAAAAGTGAAAATCCATACTGGCTACTAGATATTTTAGGCTTCCAGTAAGGAATGCAATAACATTCTCTTTATCAGACACTCAAAAGGCTTAGTACTAAGGGCAAGGGAGGGGCATTGCAGCCTCAATAGGGGTTTTGGCAGCCTAACAGAGAAAGGACACATAAGAAAACACACAAACAGCAATTATAAAACCACGCTATTATAAAGCCATTACTAGAGTATCCATCTCTAATCACGGTCACTGGTTCACCACAACAGTACTGGAAAATGATTAATTCTACGCAGAAACATGAAATGTAGATGTATAGAGCAAACCATGTGAAAATGGATTTCATCGCTTTTGCTTAACAAATATGATAAATGCTACCAGATTTGTAGATTTCTAAAGTTGCATTTCACTTTTAATGCATAATAAATGTTGTTAGTCAAACATTATCAGGAATGAAAATTGTTCCTGCTCCACTAAAGGCTGGCAAAGATTATTTTGAATATTTCTGTCTTGGTGGAAACACTGAGGTCAACATGTGGTTTGGTCAAATCTGTTTTTCCATGCATGGCAACATTACTTCTATAGACCAAAGTTCCTCCAACTTTTTACTTTAAAGATACTTGTAATTTACATTTTTGTAATTATATTAACTTATATTCTATTTATTTGCAAAAATTATGGTTTGGTCACCTCTGTTATAGACACAGTAACTTATGAGCTTGGCAAACTACTACAATGCATTTACAATGAAGCCAATTTGTACTTTACACTCTTAAGAAAAATGGTTCTAAACAGTACCAAATTAGGATTCTTTGGCTTGTAACGATGGCAGAACCCTTTTTATAAGGTTCCATAAAGAACCATGCTTGAACATGCTATAGGACCTTAATGGTGTTATAAATAACCTTTTCAACAATATTTATTTTCATTAACATTAGTATATTAGTATCTTCATATTGTTAACATTACTATGATTGATATAATTTTTTGTAAATGATTTAATAATATTGTTTTATTGTTCTATCTGTCTGGTCATTTATCTTGCCTCCATTTGGGTTTTACATAAAAAAACAATGTTGTGTCAAAACGGTACTGTTTTATTGACATAGTAAAAATGACAGTGCTCTAACAACAGAGGTGAGCTGAATACATTAATGAATAACTATTGACATTGAACACGATTTAAATGTAATGAAGACCAAGTTCTAGTGAAATATTTTCATTGTCCTCTGTCTTTACGTCCTTCATTATGTTTTCTGAGTGGCATTTTCTCTCTTCAGATTATGATGAGGTTATGGTACATGACAGCATCTGAAATAAACAATTGAGTTTAGGGTTACATTGTGTCTCTTCCATTTGTTCAGGCCAAAATTAGCAAAAATTGACAGTCTAAGCCTTTACCATGTTAAAAGGAAAAAGTGACAAAGTCACTGTATAGCTTTATTGTTGTTTTTTTGTAACTGGGTACGTTTAGGCATAAAGTCATAGTAAAAGAAATCAAACACCGGCACGGACACCGTCTCTGGCACCATCTCCGGCAAGGACACCGGCAATGTCTCCAGCACTGTCTCTGTGACGGACACAAGCAACTAACCAACTGTTTATGTTCAAAAACATAAATTTCCATTACAAGTTCCTGGTTTTGTGAATTTGTCAAGATAGAATTGTTTAGCAGACACTTTCGCGCTTTACAGCTTGACTTAGTTCACTATAGCTGAATGAAAATGGACCAGATTCAAGAATGACTCATGTCAACAAAAGTCCATTCAAACATGTGGTCATTAATGAGTAAGACTGTAAGGTCAAGGAAATTATCTTGAGGGTCACTTTTTCCAAACTTACAAGCACAACTTTCCAGTGAATGCATTCATTCAATCATGCTATTTATCCAAGCACTTTATCCCCGTCCCCTGTAATCTTGTAACCTATCTTTCACAATACTGTAAACTCTGAGCTATGAATCATTTGATTTACCAGCAGCTGCCAGTGAGTGAAAGGCCTACTCAGACTTTTTTCTCAAAAACAGTTACTTAATAATTAATAATAGGCTTAAAACAACATAATATATCAGACAGAGTCCAGTGTGGAAAATAGGCATATGCTTTGCTGCATTTCTCAGAGAGTCTCTGCCAAATCGGTCCCCTTTGAGATTAAACCCATCCATTCCCATATCCGCACCTAATGGACATTGAAGTCTCCATTCTCCTGCAGCTGGATCACTAATTAAAACGTCTGCCAGAGAGCCACGAGTCACACAGACATCATTAGACAGTAAAAACTGTCAGTGAGTAAACTTGGGAGGTGTTCAAAATTAATCGTCTACCAGACAATTACAAGGACATTGATGAGGTTGGTCAGCACTTTTAAACCGTGATAACAGTCTGTTCTAAATCCAGTGATGATGGGCCTCAAATGGAGCAATTCAGTAAGGACAGACAATCATAAGATTCTCTCATATTGCATTCCTTGGCTTATTATATATATTTAAATCAATAGTAGGCCTACTAATAAAAAGATAATGATTTTACTAATAATTGTGTACAATGGGCAAAAATATGTTATGTTTCTTTTTTTGGAGGACCAAAATATGGATGCTCTGTGTCAAAATACACTGCTTGTTCTAGTCTCAAGCGAAGAAGAAATCTTAAAAGCACTAAACAACCACATTGAGCTACAATGTGCTGCAGTCTCAAGGTAATAAAGACAGGCTAATAGAAGCCCAAAATTCCAATAAGGGTTTTATCGGTTTTTGAGAGCGCTGTTCGTTGCAATTGTTGTTTTGATCATCGATTTGTAGAGCAGACTCGTTTTGCAAAAGCTTAGAGTGAACATCAGTCTTGGATGATGAGAAACCCAACCCTATCTTATTTCCAACTGAATAGCCAATAAGATCACACCAATCACAGTCACCATGGCCTTTGATTGGCTACCGATGACATCATTACTACAGAAAGTAAAACACATCACCAATTAATGACAGAATGCTGTTCAATCAGCCAATCAGCTTGTTGTTTGGAAGCCCCTGACAACATGCCTTCCAGGCTGGCTCTCTCATCCTTCAGACAGCTTTATGTCTAAGACACAAAATTTTACACTAACTCGAATACAGCTTTTTAAAAAGACCAGATCAGAGACATGATTGATATATAAGTCAACATAATTATAATAGCAGCATGATGCTGACCGGTTTCCCCCACACAGCCATTACTCACAATGGCATATAGCTGTAACTGAATATTCAATCTAGAGTCGCGAAATAAAGTGTGGCTGAGCACTAGCCTATACTCACTGATAACTGGAAGGCAACATCAGTTGTACCAGTCTGATATTAAAAGGGGTTTACAGGATATCAGGGTCAACAAGATAAAAAAAAAGGAAACATATCGGAGTGAGCGATGAAGGTCTGTGTTGGAGAAAACCATCTGTAGGTCCTAACACAATCAACCTTTCAAGATCACTCGCAAAGCAAGCCTATGCCCTGACCAAGTTTTTCAAAGAAAATGATGAAAGCAAGGTTTGAACAATATAATCAACAATAGACTATCTACCTATTATTTATACCTATTATGGTTTTCATGACTATAGGACATACAAAGGTGTTATCTGGTCCATATCTAATTCACAAAAATACATGAAGTTTACTTTCACTAAAATTATATTTTATTATGCTAATCCATTAAAGGAATAGTTCACCCAAAAATAAAAATTCTGTCATCATTTACTCCCCCTCCCCCAATTCTGTTCCAAACCTTTCTTTTTTCTGTGGAACAGACGAGAAGGTTAACCAAAGGAGGACCAAACAACGTTGGACCCCATTGGCTTTCAATGTGTGAGGGAAAAAAAAACACTGAGATACCTTGTTTTGTTCCACATAAAGAAAGTCATAAAGGTTTGTAATGACATAAGGGTGAGTAAATTACAACAAAGCTAAATCGATTTTGGACCTGCAAGAATGATTTTCACTCAAAATACATTTGGGTGTTACACATACAAAAAGAAAGTCCTAGAGACTGGGATCGACGTGAATGTGTGTAAATGATTACAGAATTTTCCTTTTTGGGTGAACTACCCCTTTAAGAAGAATTCTAGAATTTGTTGTTTCTATGCAACAAAAATAACGAAACCCTATGGGAGCTGCGCAGTGATATAGTGTACAAAAATAAAAATAAAAACATGGTATTTTACCATGGTTAGAAATTCAAACAACTTCATAGAAGCCATATCATGAGAGATGATTACTTCACTATTGGACACGTTTAAAACCCACAGGCAGTTTACATGGTAAGTCAACAGCTCTCCCACTCCATCTACTGGTGACTCATTTAAACTGATGAGGGGCCAGATACCACAAATCCTTCCTCCATACAAGACAGCATTCTTCTTTTTATACACATTATCTGCCTTCAGTTCAAAGATGTGACGAATACAATACAAATGGTAATGGCCCAATGTAATCTAATACAAAAGTGAGATATTACTTGAAATACTTGATATTACTTAGCTTTTTTTTTTAACCTATTTAAATAAGAATGCACAATTTATTAGCATCATATAGTAGAGTATACATTTAAAAAAAATCTGTTATCAAACAATAAAAATATAAAAGATAAAATTGGTATCTTTATTGGTTATCTTTATATGCTCTGAATTTTTATATTTTGCAGCTCTATGAAAAACAAAACAAAATAAAAGATATTTGCTGACATAATTTGTCCATATTCATCAAATGCATTATATTATCATCTAGCCATTTTTGTGCAATTCAACCACTATGTGGATTCTTTGAAAAAAAAAAAAACATTACATATAAAAGTGTTAATGATTAGAGCTTTTTATAGCTGACTCTTAGGACTATATGGAAATTAACTTTATATTCTTGCATACTGTATGTAAATGTGATTTCAGAAGATAAATCCTTTTTCATTTGCTGTACTGTAAAACCCTTCACATATACACAGTCAATCCATAAACAGAGACAACACAGAAGACTTTCTCTAGAACATAAGTAAATTATTTCAATTTCACCATATCTATACACTCCAAAATGAATAACATACTAACAACTGATTTAGAATGAGGCTATTTAAAGTTGAAATAATTGACTCAGCAGCTCAGGATAGTGCAGAATAGAGCTGAAAAAGGCATGCAGTGAAAATTACAATATGCAAAACAGCTCAGCTATACAAATAAAATGTTTTTCCGGCATTTTCAAGCTTTTAAAGGCCATAAAATAGAGATAAGTAATTAGGAACAAAACATTCATCTGAAATACAAACGTAGCGAGTAAATTGGGATCTATAACCAAACTATATTGCATTTGGAGAAATAAGTTAATTCCTGCTTAATTTCCATTAGTCAAAGAATATTCTAAGAAAATATTCCAATCAATATTCCACATACATGAACAGAGAGAGAGAGAGAGAGAGAGAGAGAGAGAGAGAGATGCATGAAATGCATGTACCAGAGGAAGTTCAAGTATTATGTGGCAGCACATTTATAAATTATCTTATTTTGGCACAAGAAAAAATATTCAAAGATGTCAACAGTGATGATTAAAAATACTTCTGAGAAAGCAATTCATGTCCAGAGGAGATGGGGAGAAATACTGGAAATACCGTGTTCAGCTCTTACAAGTGTCAGTTCTTCCAAAGGCCAATAGCTTTAGTTCAGTGCAGTATGTTTTACTGCAGCTGGTCTGCTCTCATTTGTCTTGAACTTGTTTTTGCATTTCAAAGTCAGGATGATAATGACTTCAATGACAAAGTCATCTAAGCCTGTTTCTCTTGACCACAATGGTGCCAGCCACAATGTCATACACAGTCCTGTTGTGCTGAAAGAAAAGGAGTGTGATGAATGCCGGAAAAAAGAAAGCGATGGAGAAGTTCTTGTTTAACGCTCTCACTGTAGATCTACAAGAAAATCATAAAACAAGAAGTTTCAATAGAATGTTAGGGAAAAGTTCACTTTTTTTTAAATGACAGAGTAACGTTAACAGCAGCACTGACGCAGAAAGCGTGACGTTTGTCGCTGGTACCACAAGAACTCGGTTTGGCTGAACCAGAACGGAGCTGTCACATGTGACCACTCGTAAGCCAATGAGAAACTTCCCTGGTGTCGCCCCACCAGCTCCCCAAATACATATGATCTGAAAACAATCAAAAACAGTTAAGCAGGTCTTCATGATTTTTTTTCATTCAACAGATTAACTCAATTATTTGAACTAACCTCATAAAAGCAAACTAATATCCTATAAACTAGAGCCACAAGCATCATCTTCTGCAATTCCTCCATTGATGTGTCCTCATCAATCTCCTCTACTATGAAGTGCATGGCAAACTTTGAGATGTCCCTAAAATTAGATTTTAAATGGGCAAAGAGTGAATGTAAAAATGTAAAAATATGTAAAAATATGAATATGTAAAAATATAAATAAAAGATTCCAGACTCACTTCATTCCACTCAAGTGCACAATACTAAGGATAATTGTGGCTTTAATGAAGAAAAGAATGAAGAAATCTACCATTTCCGCCAAGAACCTTTGCAGAGGAGAGGGGATATAATATTCCCTACCTAGACAAAAAAATAATAAAAACATAAACTGCTTTTGAAAACTGAACCATTCTAATTACGAGGGACAATTTTATCCCCCAATTTTATGTATTGGAAATAATATTAAACTCACTTTAAAAAAAAAATAAAGATGTAAACAATATTAGTTTACAAACAATAACGTGAACATAGGGGTGATTTCACTAATTTCATATGAGCATAAATTTCCACTTTTGCCATGTCCCATAGATCCATGCACAAACTTAACATAAACTGGCAATTATAAGGAAGAAATGGTGTTTCTTCACCTCCCCTTTCTCCAATAACAATGTCTCAAACATTTTCAAATGAATTTTGATGTAATTTGTAATCATTCCATAGGTTTTGTTTCACTATAAAACATTATATCCTTTTAGATAAAATTAAAGAAATAAGCATTTAAAAAAAGGTAACTTCAGCACATTCATGTAAATGTCAATGCATCACTAAACTATCTAAATCCAATTAGACACCCTGTTAATGTCAGTTTTTACACAATGAAGCCATAATAATAGACTTTAACCAAATTATATTTCTAAGAGTATACTACTGGAATACTATGTTAAAGAAATAATCTTTAATTTAACGTAGACACTCTATCAAATGCATAAACACAGCCTAAGGAGGCTCGTTTACATCTATACACAAAGTACTGAGCTGTCATATCCAAGGCAGCCTAGTTATAAACAAAAAATTGCAGCTGGCAGTTTTAACAAAAAAGAAAGGTAATAAAGGATGTATTAATTATCATATATAATTACCAGGCTGTTGAGCATTTCCATTGGGTTGCTGTGGTTGTTGTTGTTGTAGCGGCAGCTGCGCAGGCGCTGTGGCAGGGGCTCGAGAACTCTGACCGCTCGCGTCAGCAGCAGCACCCGCCGCGTTCGCACCTGCAGCAGGAAAACCAAACGGGCTGCTAAACCAATTCCGAAGGTCTCCATTAGACATATCTGTACCCCATGTCGTTGCTCCTGGCGTTTCGTTTGTTCCCTGTGTTGGGAAACACGGTGGGAAGGAAAACGCAGACATGGCTATCCAGCTCTGCCAGTTCATATAGCTGTAGTAGTACTGCCACATCCACTCTTGTAATTTTTCGCAGTACTCTGTGGTGGTAACAGCGGTGGAAGTGTCTTGTTTGCCCTGGGAACAGGGCTTGTGAATATTTGTTTTCATGTTTTTGCCGTCCCTAGTTCTACAGTTTTTTGCCAACGATTTCTCCTTATCACCAGCCTTTTCGTCTAACTCCGCCATGACACTTTTGTTATGTGACGATTTAATCAACTTCCGGCAATATTTCGTAGTGCATAATAAAGGAAATAGAATAAAAGACATGAGCAAAAGCGCAACCTCTTCTCAGTTCCTCCCGAAAAACGGATAGATTGCCGATTTCCATGCAAAATATGCGGGCCTTGCATGATTTCATAATCCTCACATTTTCGTTGTAAAAAAAGTCATATTATATCAGCAGAAAATTGAAAAATTTTGCCCCCGTTGCCATGGGAACGTATGAAGTGACGTAATTATGCGACGTGAACATCATCGAAAAGCCAAGCTGTAAAACAGGAGCACACTTTATTTTTTATATTTTATTTATTCGTAAATTTTCACAGAAAACTCCTTCTTTTTTATTTTTAAGAAAGATATTGATATGTATTTAAATTCATTGAAGAACTGTTTATGGAATGTAACCCTCTGTATTGTTGCAATGTATATTACTGTCTTGATTTGTATTTGTTATTACTGCATAAATACAATTATATATATATATATATATATATATATATATATATATATATATATACCATATATATATTCATTTTTACAAGTTGTAGCATATTCCTTTTGTCAAGCTACATACAACTTGTTTGACTCATCAATGTTTTGTAAGTTTGATGTGTTTATTAAGGTCTGGAATAAAACAAGATGAGAATTCCTAGCACTTTCTGTGATGTAGCCTAGTATATGCTTGCTTAAGGAAGTCATAAGAAATAACTCTTTACATCAAGGTAGTAGCTTAGTGAGAACAGGGTGTTGGGGAATAACTTTTTTTTCTCTATTTTCATCAAACTGCAGTTTTTGCAAGTTCCCGCAATTTCAATGTATACAATTGCATAAATTCTGCATATTCCATCGCATTTTTAAAGAAAACGATCACAAAAACCTCCCCATTTTTCTGCAAGGACTTTCTCTGTGTAGTATGCAATTGATGGAAAGGAATTCATATTAATTCATATGGCACAAAATACATTTACTGTTTTTGCAGTTGCTAATAAGAATGAATTAATTTATAAATATTTGGGGAGAGCGGGGTAAGATGTGTCATCCCCCTTAAAATAGCATTGCTCTAGCATTTTTAGTGTTCTTAAATGATTAAAACCATATCCAATGGATAATAGACACTTTAATTAATTTAACTTAAAGTACATGACAGTGAACATCTATTACAACATATTAGACATGATGGGATCATGTTCATAAAAAAATGGGGGTAAGAATATTTCTCAAAACCTATACCATGGCTACATCACATTGCCCTTCTTTTACTTTTAAAATAACTCAGTCACAGCTATGTAATAGTTATTTTACTTAATTCAATAGCTATTCTAATATTAAACTCTTAGCTATTTTACTGATTTAAACTAAATATTTAAATTCTATTCTATTATATTATTAAGCATTAGTTAATTTATAAATATATAATTGGGGATAGTGGGGTAAGATGTGCCACTCCCTTAAAATAGCATTTGTTCTAGGATTTGTAGTGTTCTCAAATTATTAAAAATCATATAAAATGGAGACACCACTTTAATGAATTTAACTTAAAGTACAGTGGCATGACAGTGAACATTTAATACAACATGTTACAGACACAATGGAGTCAAGTTTATAAAAAATGGGGAATATTTTTTGCCCTTCATTTACTTGTAAAACAACTCGCAACTATGCAATAGCTATTTTACTTAATAGCTATTTTATTATTAAACTGTTTGATATTTTACCGATTTACTGTTTTAAATTTGGTACAGAGACACAATGGAGTCATGTTAAAAAAGAAAGAAGAAAAAGAGGGTAATATTGTGTCTCAAAAAGATATGTGAGACAGGTGACGAGTGGGTCAGAAATCATGATGATCATAAACCACATCAACGACAAAGTCCAATTAATTGAAGCAATAATAAGAAAATTGTGATAATATCAAGGTACAAGTTCAGAGCAGCAAAGATGTACTCTTCTGGATTGATGCTGTATTTGTGCTTTCCACCCAGTATGAGCTGTGTGTCCATCACCAGGTACTAGATAATGAAAGCGAGAGACAGTAAGATAATGGGAGTAAAGTGGTACCAGCAATCTGACAATAACAGATTGTTGGGAGAACATAATATTAATACTGTGTCAGCTTCATTGCACACACTATACGTCCAGATATGACTCATGACTTCCCCCATAAGGATCATTTATCTTTACACACAAAGCTGCTCCGTATAAAGCAAGAAAGATGTGTATTTACCACAGAGAAGACCAAAGTTCCCAACGATGCATAAAAGATGTACAAATACTGTGGAATATGAAAGTTTGCATGAATGAATAAACAAGTAAACATTTTTTTTATAAGAGAGGGAATTTGTGGATTTACCTGCGATCTCAGAATTGCACAAAGCAATGCAAATGAAAACAGCGTCCAGCTGATTGCCCATATGCTTCCTGAAGCAGCTGTGAAATCCCACTAAAAACAAGTAAAGACTGGTTTAAAAACTTGATTACCTAACAAATCATTCATTTTAATTTGAAACTTAGTAATACAGTACATATAGTCTAATGTCACTGCAGTTTTGTAATAAATGTACATACTTTAGATTGCAATGAAAACAAACTCAGTGCAAGAGACACCAAAGCAGTTGCACCCACTGCCCAGAGCACTGCATCGGCCGAATAGTACCTGAAAAGATATGTCGGTTTCTATAGCACTGGCTGTGTAACTAAATTGTTCAATTGTTAAAGTTCAATTTCTTGGAGTAATTGAAGTGCATTTAAATCAGTTTCAATTGTGCTTTTCACTCACACTACAACTGATCCAAGGAGAAGGCCTTCTGCAATTGTCTGTGTGAGAAAACAGCAGTCAGCATTTACAAAAGGATTCAATTGAATGCTCATCATAGCACAGTGGTTTTGTGATTTACTTACAAAGATCCCTAGGAAGATGAAGTTTAAAGGAACTTTCCGACGGATGTCACCACAACAGATGAGCACAATGATTAAAGCAAATGTTACACCGCTTGTGAAACGTAATCAAACAAAAGAAGTCAGTGTAAGTTAAACACACATATGCGTATTATTTAGGACATGCAGAACACACAAAAGAGAAGTGCTCACATCATAGTATAGGTAAACCAGTATGTGCCTTTTACCCAGTCCCTGAGTGTCTCCCTATAGGAAAAAGGGACAAGTGTATTAATAATACACACACACAAGAGATCAAAAAGTTAAAATGCAAGTCTAAGATGCTCAAGCTTATGCAGTAATACTTAAGTACACTTTATTTGAATTGAAATTAATTGAAGTAGGTGTGGAAACATAAATGTCTACTCACCAAAAAAGAAAAGCACAGATGATTCCAACAGTTATTAATAGTTGAACCATAAGTGTCAGGTACACTTTTCTTATGAAACCTGTGAAGCACATTTAGACATGACACAAAGAAAATCACAAAAAACACAATTCTAATTTAGTATATCAAGAAACATTGACCGCATTATGTTTGAAATAGCCAAGAGACAGATGTAGTTTCAAGAGAGCACTGACCTCTTCTTATGGTTGCATCTGAAAAGCAGTTCTCATTCTCAAAGCCCAGGGTGTACTCTGGGGGAGCGCTGTCTGGAATCCCCATGTTGACTTGTTCAACAACGGGGGGCATCATGCCAGCGGTGGGTTGCCCAGCATTGAACTGCGTTGCATTAGGATGTTGCGGAGGGTAATAGGGGTTGTACGGAGGGGGAGACTGCTCTGTGTTCATATTGTGTCTTTCAACAAACCTATAGACACACTTAATTTAGAAAATTGAGAGTGAATAAACTCTGAAACTGATGCTTAGATGTAATCCACACAAAGAAGCTTAATGCCAGCATTTTTATCTAATGACATGTCACTAAGATTTAAACATTTAGGGTGCCAGATTCTCTGTATTGGTACAATTTCCATCTACATTAAACTTTTTTTTACATTAAAACTGCCACTTACCTTTTTAGTATCACTCTGCTTCCTGTTGTGAGTTGTGCAGGGCAAAGTCTGTGCTTGATCAGTTTGTCTCCTGGGGGACGGACTTTGCCAAGCCCATCAAATCAATACACACACATTCATGAGAGCCAAGTTCATGTGTGTGTGTGTGTGTGTGTGTGTGTGTGTGTGTATGTAGGCTATGTGTGTTATTTTTTGTTTTAAAATTCAACAAAGAATGAATTTCACAATGAAATGCACAACTTACAGTGATGTACCAACTGAGTGATTTTTGTTTTTAACTACAATTGTCTAAAAATGAATAAAATAAAAATGATGCTTTATTTTAGAGGACAACCTCTTTGTGATGTAATTTAAGGGATATTCATCCCCAAAGTTATAGATTTTTTTATTATTTACTCGCCACCATGTTCTCCAGTTCAGTAAGAGTAAGCAAGCTCCAAAGATGAAATGGACATATTCCTCACACAAAGCAATTGTAGAAATCTTGGTAACACTTTACATTACAGGCGCACTTTTATGTATTAATTCATACTTAACTAATGCACAGATAATCACAAGTTAATATATAACTCATGAAGAACTAAAACATCAATTAATGATTACTGCATCCGCAACTATAGAGTCTATATGATTAATAGATTAAGTAATACATGAATTGCTATTAATTAAATGTGTCATTGCTTATTAATTCCTTAATAACATATTTTATTAACTAATAGTGTAAATTAATGTGTTAATTACCACAATTAGTCAAAGCTATGCACTTCAACTTCCAGTTGTCTGCTTTAATTAATCATTAGCTAATGATTTGCAATGGTATCATTATGTTATGACTTTACTTGTTGGGACACATCATTATTAACTAGTCATTTAGTAATTGTAGTAATTTCACATGAATTTGCACTAACAATGAAGTAATTAATCATGTATTAATGCATATTAGTGTACCTGTCATTATCTGGAAGTTGAAATACAAGGCTTTGGCTCATTCTGGTAATTAACATATGAATTAACACTGTTAGTTAAAAAATGAGTTATTATGGAATTAATCGACAATTACATATTTAGTTAATAACAATTCATGAATGAACAAATACGTACATTAACCCTACAGACTCTTAATTAGTTCCCAATGTGAGAATCATTAATGAATAGCTTAAATAATATTAGTTACACATTAATTCAGTATTATCTGTGCATTAGTTAAGCATGAATTAATGCTTATTATTGCACCCGTATTGTAAAGTGTTACCGAAATCTTTTATTACTTGAAATATAGTACATAAGTAGTATACACAACTGTCGTGATACTTTTTGGAGCTTTACCTGTTTTTTGTTTTGTTTTTTTATTAGCGTACACATTACGTTGTGTTGTGTTTTAGGGTTAATGGGAATTTGTCTAAAATCCCTGGGTAATGTCCATGGTAGAAAATTAGCAGTACATTTTCCGTTTTTATCTTTTACAGTGTAACCACAACCCATTAAACATTACATTGCATATCCTGTAGATGGCGTTAAATATACTGACAACAACTAGCCTAAATGTTCAGGTGTGCTACCTAAATCATGAATTAAACATGTATCCATAAGTTAAAATGAACGGGGAAAAAAACAAAGATCAAGAAAATGGTCATTAATAATTCATTAGCTACTCATTTGTATGTAAATATAGCCAAACACCCATGGCGGATAGGTCCTGATTAATGAATAATTCATAGGTTCTGCAGCAGGATTCATACCCACTGCTGCATCATGAGCAGGTTTCAAAAGCCAGGACACTGGAGAATTTTTCCCAAGAAAGAAGTTGTCTGTTACTCTTTTCCTGGCTTTTGCGCGTATTTTAATGTTTTCAGTTTTGTTCTTTGTATGACGAGCTGTTACAAACTTGGTGAAAATCTACTAGGTGGGTTCCCATAGCAACGTCGATATTCTTCCACGAGTTTCTTCATGTGTCTCGTTGTAGAAGTTGTCCTGTTTGTTTTGATGCACAATCATAGTGCACAGCCATAGCAAGCCTACAGGCAAAACGTGTGAGGGGATGCGAAGAGGAAGGGCGGGAGAGAGGGGATAGAGAGACGAGGATGGGAGGAGAGAGAAGAGAACGAGAGAGAAATCGTTCTCCCACTGGCCGTCGCCAGAGTGCTTAATATTCAATGACCTGGGAAACTCACGCAGGGGACGTCAAAACAACAGTGGTTTAATCATCTCAAAGAAGGAAGCACGGGGCGAAGTGAACTGCTGCTCTTGCACTCGAAGCCAGCGCTTGCCAGTGGCGATTTTCTAACTTTTTGCTTTTAAGAATTCATTCCCAAAGTCGGGATGGAACGGCGTCTTGTATCGTATGCAAATACGTCTGCTGACGTAGTTGATCATGTGGGTTTTGGCGTAGATCCCCCTGTGATCGCCAATTTTTTTCGGCTGTTGTCTTTAGGATTCGGCAGAATCATTACAATCGTACGCTTCTATTGGCCGTACACGTGGAAAAGTACGCAATTTTGGACGCGTGCTGTCATTAACCTCACATCCCAACGCTTCCTGTTGGTAATAGGTAGGTAAGAATGGCTGAATTATTTGTGTCGTTTGGAAAAATAACAAACAAACCTTAAAGTTGCGTGCGCTTGAAGGCTCACAATAAGTAGTCGACTGAAACATGCCGTAAAGCGCTTCTGATGTCAGTTGTTTATTTCAGCTGAACTTTGTTTACTCAAGGTATATCGTAGAAAGTGAGCACCAGAATAACCGCATCGACCTGACCCGATAACCTCAGTTTTAACGTTTCCAGCGCTGTGATTTGGTGTGGCTTGCGGAAAGTTTCATAGAATGGTTAAAGTTAAGCGGTAATGGGCGCGAGAACATGTCTACTTCTCTGCTGTCGAAATAAGCAGCAAAATATGGCTACCAATGTCGACATGGCGTTACGTCGGTCCAAGTGATTTTTTTTATTGGAGTCTGTTCTGCCTCAATAAAACCATATTTTCAATTGAAAGCCACGATCGGAATGCTATTTCGAACCGATAATGGTTAATTCATGCACTTGTATGAAGTGAGCATGGCACGCAACTACTTTGATTTCGGCTTGGTGTCGTATGATGTAGGCAGTGGTGACGCCTTCCACGACCATACTGCATGGCACACGCATCAGACGCGAGCCACATTGCAGCACTGTGTGTTCACATCTGTGATAGTTCCCAAAATTGTCGCATCCACACTACAAGAGGGCCGAAGCACCCTATATAGAGCAAACGTGCATTTCTGAAAGCTGAATACGCTAATAAAAAGTGCCGTTCTGAGTTGTTTAAAATTCTCAATATAGCATGCAATTGACGTGTCTTAGCCTAAAAACCATCTCGGCGAATATTGTGATTCGAGTGTGTAAAACTTGCGGCCTAACGCATGATATTTGCTTCAGTCTTCAGTCAGATGGAATTCCATATCATGGACAGTGACCGATTTCCCATCTGTCAGTCATCCCGGGCTGTTTACTCATGACCAGCAGGTCTTGCCTACTTTTCATGATGTAGCTTCTGATAATCACTTTTAGACTATTTATAAGGTTTAATGGGTGATTGGAAAAATAACTAGCTGTTTTAACTGAGGGGTTGCTTGAGATTGAATAAAGTCAAATCTAACAATTGTGGGGCCCAAACAAACATCATGCAAATATATTTTCTAAACTACTCATTTTTCTCCTTCCATTAAATCTCATTACTATGTATAAAATACACTGCTTGTGTTTAGACCACATCATATCATGGACAGTATAATATAGTTTTATTTAGTTTAATGCATAATGTTAAATGAGAGAGAGCCACTTTGGTTGCTCTGGTTTATTGACTAGTTCTTAATAACTTACTTGATCAATTACTATGTTGTTTTTTTAATCCGAGTAGATATTTGTCTTAACTTGGCTTTGTAGAACTGAACAGAATATTTATAAAATGCACACTATGACACACTATGTTTGTTGGAAGGGCATTCTGATACATTTTTATTATCACAAGTTTATTCTGCGTTGATGCCATTTTGAAATAACTAAACATTCTCACTCTGCCTTGCAAAAATATGATTTGTGTTCACCTGGTGGGCCGTAGTATGGAAACATCTCTCATCACAAAGTTTTATTCATGGAACAAGACTAAGACAACTTTTGTAAAGTAGTGACACGTATCATCAAAAGTACAACTCTGGTTGAGTTGCTCCGGTTCAATATGCAGTTTGTGCCAGGTGACTGGCTGGATTCAAAATGGCTGCCCGCGTTCGTGAGGAGCTGACGTCTTTGAGGAGGTGGTTGCTGCTGCCTCTGCCTCGTAGCTCGTGCTGTCGGTGACTAAGCCGACAGTCGCTGATGTCACAGCCGTGGGCTGGGCTCCTTTGAAAGCTGTGTGTTCTCTGTCGGTGCTGGTGGTGACTCCACTGAAAGCAGAGCCTCTTTGTGAGGGAGTCTGGCCTCAAATTGGAGCCAGGTTATTTATTAGTCATCACTACTAAAGCTATTAATTTCCTTTTGCATTCATGTCCTGGAAGAGAGAGTCAAAACTGATGTGTGCTACCAGCTTAAGTTGCAGTTTAAAGCGGCATACTGCTCTGTTTTCGTATTAGAAATGCTGCATAAATGAGTACAACAAATCATGATTCATCACTATGCATGATCATATTCATGTCATAACTTGCGATCATACTTGTTTATGATTACATATTCGAGCATGTTGAGTGGCAGTGAAAGCAGCTGGGCTTCAATGCAGATGTGCCTCAGCATAGCAGATTCTTAGTTGAACTAAAGAAAATAAAACAATCAGTTTGAGAATGTTGTTTTCTTGACGTGAGAAGAGTTCAACTTTTTGCAGTCGCTCACTGTTGAGCAGCCTCTCAGTTGCCAATATTCTGCCCTACTTTTGCAGTCGTGACCCAGCTTTTGAAGGTGTAATGGAGAGACTGCATTTAACTGTACTGACCATAATTTTGAGGAGTAGAATGATAAATATTTCTAGCAAATGACTCAGAATAGTGATAGAGGTTATTTCTTTTCATGTGCTATCTTCAAGCAGCTGCATTATAAAGTCTTGAACAACATTCACCTTGTATCTGATCTGTTGAATAAATTTTAGT